CACAAGGCTATAAATGTTTCGTTGGAAAGCCTGACCTGCACGACAAAGCTTAGTAATTGCTTGAGAGATTTCTTCGGCCAGCCAGTTGCCCACCATAGTGCCAGACACCAAACGAGCATTGGCGTATTCATAGCTGATGCGGACTAGTGCCTCTTCCTTCCGCTCTGAATTGTAGAGCTTGACGTGCGCCCACCAAAAATCAGATGTCCAGATGTCTTTTACCTTCCAAGTCCCCTCCAAACCTTCGTGGGTGACAAGTGTGTCGCCTCTCTTGAGTAGGTATGGCAGACCTGACGAAATACAAAAGTACTTCTCCCCAGTCTGGCTGTCGGTATAAACAGAGATGGCCACCTGGTACGCGTTGCCACACATGACTGGGTTCAAGGCGGCGGAAATGAGCTTGTTATTAACCGCACGCTCTTGAAAAATCTGTTGTCGCATAGATGGGGTTACAACTTCATCAGGTTCGGGTTTGCAGACTGATGGTTTAGGCTTGACCTCTCGTTCATTGTAGCGGTTGCGGTGGACCTGTGAGAATAATGGTAAGAGAGTGGTCATAGCGGAGTGGAGCACTACAGCAAGTAAGGCTGTATGCGTACAGGAGTGTTGGCTCGTTCAATGGTTTCCGAGGTCCTACCCAATTGGAGATCTCCAGGTTTTTCGATGAAGAACTTAGACAGTGGTTCCGAAGTCTGAGTAATCGTTTTGTGAATGTGGATTTGAATGGGAGTGTTAGGACGCGCTGGGCTGAAGGGTGGTTCCTTTATATCGCAAGCCTGGTATTCGTGGTCGTTGATTGCCTGATATAAAAGTTCGAAGCCCTGATAATTTTGATGAGTCACGTCTGTATATGTTTTCTACACAGGCGACATACGCTATCCTCCTCGGGCGCTACCTCGCTGATCGAGTTATCATCAAGACAGATGCGATAGGCATTGTGACTAGAAGCTCGGGCCGCTTCCAGCTCCAGGAGGTCCTCAGTGGTGAAGGACGAAAACGAGTTACGAGCACTGTTGGATGGCACAACAATGGTACTTCCAGAAGAAGAGAGGGAGGCCAGAGAGTCTGTGGACTTGTGGCGAGTGATTGGGGTTGGTGGGATCATGGTGACTTTGAGAGAGGAAGGCGGAGTGGGTAGTTGCATGTTAGGTGCGCTTCAAGGCTGACTTCCTTTTAATGGTTATGGTTTTACAGAGTCAGCCGAGCATCCTCCTTCTCGGCATGGAATCGCCGATTACTCGTTATCCGAGTCAATTTCCTCCTCACTGGAGCCGTCGGTGTCATCCGAAGAACTTTCGCCACTGTCAGATTGCATGAATGGGTGTCGTCGGGTGATATATGGGTAAAGACGAAAAGCGGCTACTGGATTCTGAGTAAAAAACGGCTCCGTCTAGTTCACTAATGATATAGGCTCCTCCTGCATTCTTTCGCACCACTTGGTATGGTCCTAAGTATCGGTCCTCTGTTTTCCGCTTGATGCTCATTTGATTTTCAATGCCCACATTTCGTAACAATACAAGCTCGCCTGGCTGGTAGTCACTCTTCAGCAGCCGGTGGTGGAAACGCCGCTCAAAATGCGCTTTCGATCTAAATCGGGACTGAGCAAGCATGTTCGCAGCACGTTTCACATCAGTATTGAGTTTGGCCAATTGTCGAATTCGGAGAGCAAGCAAGTCAGTAGTGCTCATATTGGGCTTAAATCCTGTGACTAGAAAGGTGGCCTCAAAGAGGTCAAAAGGTAATATGGGGTCTGTGCCATGGAGTAGTTGGTAAGGGGAAAAGCCTGTCACGCGGCTGACAGTGACTCTATCGGCGAAGATTCCCAGAGGCAATTTGTTAGGCCAGTCATCAAGATTTTTCCCACAGGCTCGTACGATGGCTTCTCTCAACGTAAAGTGGCCGCGTTCTACAACTCCGTTAGCATGCTTATTATAGCCAGAAACCCGGACATGGGGAACACGCAGACGTTGCATGAGTTCCTCAAAACCTGCTTTGACTTCGGGTCCATTGTCAGTAACTACACGGCGTGGGCATCCATAGCGGCAGTAGATATGTGTCCAGAAGAAACGTGCAAGAGTATTCGCAGTGGCGTCTTCAATTGCCATAGCCTCGCATGTACCTGTCAAGTCATCTCGGGCTGCAACAATTTTCGTAAAACTGCCTGCTTTAGGCATATTCATAATGTCTATGTAGACTTTCTGAAAGATTGTCACTGGTGTTGATACGGAGAGAGGTTTTTCCATCTTCCGAGTGTTTCTAACTTGGCAGGTATGACATGATGCCACATGGTGGGAGATGTCATTATGTATTTTTGGCCACCAAAATCGGTTACGTAATAGCTCCCAGAGGGCGGACTCCTTTGTGCCCTAAGTCCTCATGTGACTGTGTGAGAATTCGTAGGCGTATAGTGGGATCAGTAATAACTTGCAATGGAGGCCCATGTGAATTTCGTTTATATAGTTTGTCTTCGTTAACCATAAACTGTGTTGCCTGTCGCAGAAATCGCTGATGCTTTTGTGGTGTCAAGAAACTTGGGGCTTCAAGTGTTTTCAAAAAATGTTCAATGTTGCGCAAGTCCATTTCCTGAGTACTTCTAGCAAGATGACAGGATGGAAGGCTCAATGCTTTATCTGGGAGGGTAGTTGGGTCTACTTTTCTGACAAGAAGAGCAATTTCATCTAGCCAGGTATCATCATCATCTTTGGCGGTTTCTCCAGGTGCTAACCCTCTTCGGGATAATGCGTCTGGCCCATGAAATTTTTCTGCTGGAACATGGACTAGTTCAAAGTGAAACATAAGGATTCCTTGTATCCACCTATTGACAGCTGCATCGGGTTGCAAGTCAGGACTATTGAGTAGCCCCTGAATAAACTTGGCATCAACTTCTAGACGAAGATTTTGAGCCCCTACCAAATATAAACGCCAATGCCTGAGAGCTCTGTATACACCAAACAGTTCAAGTTTTGGCTGGGAATATCGGGATTCACGTTCACTCATAGGTAAAGAACCATACCGGGCAGGTCGCCGGCGTCCTTCTTCATCTATTTGGGACAGTACCATACCAGTGCCATACTTACTAGAGTCAATTGACAATATTATTTGCCTGCCTGACTTGTAGTCTATAGGTGTGAGGGCTGGGGCTGATGCTACTAACTGTTTGATTTTCTCAAATGCTTGTGATCTCCGTTCATCCCAGGCAAAATCGACAGTTTTACGATACAATTCAGTAAGCGGCCGAATTATAGTGGAGTATTGAGGTATCCATATACGTACAGTCCCACAGAGTCCGAGAAATTGTCGGACTTCTTTGGGGGACTTCAAGGGTGGCCAATCTAAGATAGATGACACTTTCTTACGATCAGGTATACGGCCCTCTGGTGAACATAATTGCCCAACAATTAGTGCTTCTCGTCGGCATATTTGTACTTTAGTCCCTGAGAAGGTACCTCCTGCTAGTTTGACTTTGTGCATAATTCTGTGAACATCATTAGCATGTTCCCAGATAAAACGACGTATCCCAGGGTTCTCTGGCAAGGTCTCTGGCTGCCCATTTTTATCTAGATATGCAGATACTGGTCCTTTGATAGGAAGGTCATCTATAAACACGTTGGCTATGTGTGGAATCTCATCATGTAGTATAAAGACCATACACTTTTGAAATTCTGCTGGAGAGTTTGTATACCCTGTTGGCATTGAAGTGATTCTAAGAAGTCCTAATGGTGTCATGAAGGCTGTCATGTCTCTGCTCTCTGGCTCCATTTTGCGGGCATCAAAGCCCCAGTATAAGTCAAAGACTGTATAACACTGGCGGCCTGCAAATCCTTCCACAAAGTCATCTACAATTGGAAGCATTCCTGCATCCCGAATTGAGACCTTGTTAAGTGGCTGGAGATCATGGACTATTCGCAATTTTCCGTTCTTTTTCATAACACAGAACCATCTTGATCTATAAGATGACTGACAGAGTTCATATACTCCTGCCTCCATTTTTAACTTCAGCACATCAATAACTTTGTCTAGTATACCTGGGGGAATTGGAATATTCTTATATTCCCAGGGAACATGAGGAATAGTTGCTATCTTATATGGCGAGAAATACTCATCCTTGAATGAGCCTCTTTCTCTATCTTCAAATGCTAATGCTTCTTCATTGAGCCTGAGAAGATGTAAGATCAACTTTTCTTCCTCTGAAGAAAGGAATTTGTCAGAATTCACCTCTAATAAAGAAAGTCTTTCTGTAGTGATCCTTTCAGTAGGTACAAACACTGGTGGGTTGGTTGGGAGTGAAGGGAGAGACTTGAGTGGGTCTTCTGGAATTTGTCTTTTGACTTCATACTCAGGGGAAAAGGTAGTAGATACTGGTCTGATCTTTTTATCCACCCTTTTATACATTGTAAAAGCCTGATATGCTTTCCCACTGGAGTCCTCCATCTCTACTGGATAGAAGATAAGGTCATCATCTTCTTCCCAAATATCAGAGTCACCTTCTGGTGTGAAACCCAAGGATTGAGTTTCACAAGTTTTGTTTGTCCAGTTTGAACTTGAGTTGAGTAGATTTTCACAAGTCTCAGTGTCTGGCATCAGAGTTGATTCATTACTCAACTCCAAGTTAGAAGCTGAGAAGAAGAAATTTGAATAAGATACTTTGGTCTGAGATCCAATTTTGAGTCTTACTAAGCTCCAGTCACTTAGCAGCACACAGAGATACCCAAGACAAATAGTAAATTTGTTGAGTAGGATCACCAATACTCTGAGTATAAGTACAAGACAAACAAGAGTTAAGTCCATAGAAACAAGGGGGAGGATAGGGAAAAGTAATGTCCATATACAGGCATAAAATGTCCATTGAGTGAAAGGGAAATTAGGTAGATGGTTCATAGAGTCATATGGTAAGTGGATAACAACAGGAGAAGGAAAGACTAGAGAGGCAGGGAGTTGAAGTGACAGGAAGAAAAGGAAGGGTATTATCCAGTTTAGATAATATACATACAGTGTTGCAGTTAGTTGTGGCGGCGAAGCAGGATGAGGCTGTCGATCTCCAGGTTCTGCAGTGCTAATCAGTGGCGACCCGCGGCGAACAGATGTGATGAGTACCTGGTATATATCGAACACCGACCTATGCCTTGGCCCAGAAGATCTCGTTGCTATAATTGATGGCCTGAGTAGGGCTCTCGACCAGGATCGTCTCGTCGTTGCGATCACCAGTCCAGAAATTATCACCATCACCAAGAAATTCCTGCCCAAAGTCGATGAGCTCATCAGCAATTTCACGAAGTTGGGCCTCGGTGTAGTTGGCGAGAAAGTTATTGCCCGTTTCGTCATCAGGCTGAAGAAAGGGAGGGGATGGGGATGCTGCTGAATAGTCATCAGTATCTCGAAAGAAGTCAGAGAATACTGGGGATGGTGGCTCACCAAAAAGTCGGTCATCCATTGGGTCGATAAATTCGATATCACTTGAACCGGGATCAGAGTCACTATCAAAGGTGTCGAGGATGCTCCGAAACCCAGGGATGTGACGAGTCCAGACTTCTTGGTCGCCAGCGAGATGGTTGATGTCGAGGAAGCCGTCATTGCGGAGCTGTTGAAGCTTGGCTTCAATTAGAGGATAAAATCGAATTCGTAAAATGCGCCGCATGAGCTCGGCCTGCTCCACAAAGCCAAGATAGTAAACCTGTTGGTAAGCGATTTCGCCGAGAGCATGTTGGTCACGCGAGAGGATGGGATGGAGGTAATTGAAGGCCCGCGCGTTGTCGTGGTTATGATGAACAAGGTGTTGGTAGGCTGCTTGGGTCGGGTTGAGCCCCGCTCGCGCAGCCATCAAAAGCATGCGATGCACTGCGGTATCCCAAGTGCCAAGAAACTCCTGCGCTGTTGCGAGGAGATTGAAATGAGTTCCCGCTGACACAATGTCAGTACCATCCTGCGTTTCTGAACTGATAGTCTTACAAAAGGGTCTCCGCTTTTCAGGATTTACTTCTCCATCAAGCTCTAACCGGAATTCGTTTCCGATAACGAACTCCATGCGCTGCCCGTCAGGTTCTCGGCACATGTCGGGATCGTAGACAGTGCCTAGACCAGTCCGTCCATAAACCAGGTTGTGAGCATGGCGGAGCGGCGCAAACGTGTTCGCACTGGAAAGTGAGTACGCCAGTTTATAAGGCTCCAAAATTCGCTTCATAACCGAAGCTACCCCCAGCAAACCTTCCCGTTTCTCGATAGTGGCCACCGCCTCTTCGAAATGAGACTCCAAGGTTGAGAACTCATACGCGGGGTCCCATGCGGCTAAAGGTGAGTCAGGATAATTCGAGGTTGCCGATGAATCAGGTGAAATTTCGATGTTGGGTGGATCAAGGTCGCCAGAAAAGGGTAGCACGCGGAATGCGCCTGCTTGCTCGTACAGTCGCATCGGAATGTGTGGTTGATGAACAAAAGAGCCATGTGGGTGGTAGACATGTCGCCAGAGGTTGTGCATCTCGAAACGTCGGTCCGTTCGTTCCCAAGACAGTTCTGGGTGAAGAAGGCTATATTGAGTTTCTTCTTCGTTGGTGACGACAGTGAGGCCGAGCGCGCTGTCGAGCTGAACGCGGGCGCGGCAGTAGCTGTAGTGGTGGCGAGGTTGGTTGCGGCTTGCGGCACAGAAGGCAGGACAAGATAAGCAGCAATTGGCGGGTGTTGGATGGAACTGCGAACAAGCACCGGTTCGTCAGAGAGAGTATAGGCTGGTGAGTCCGGGGGAAGCAGCGAGGGCATGTCAATGTCCATGCCCGCGCGCATGTTGTCCCGTATTTCCCTGTCAACCAAATTAACACAAGTTGTAAGCTGTAAGCGCACATACCCGTCTTCTAGCACGTCCTCTTCGCTATCCGCATCATAAGAGCTTTCGCTGTCTCCGCCCAGGCTCTGATACCACTCGTCGTCATCACCGTCTCCCTCATTTTCGGCGGACGCGTCTTCGGGGTGAAGGTCGGAATGGGAAGGAAAAGGGTATTTGGCGCGTTTGTACAAGGATTGCATGGCGCTAACCCAGACCCTGCGTGCTTCTTCCAGCTGACCAGCTTCATAGAGCTCCGATATGCGATTCATCTGCCAGCGAATAATGAAATCGCGGGCTCCAGGTAAACTCTCGTCGGACTCAGCACCTGGTAAGTTCACTTGTTTAGTTGTGTTCTTTGCAATTTCAAGCTTGTTCTGACCTTCAGTGCCGTCCTCCTCTTCAACCATATACTTCTTCCGGTCTGCGAGCAGCGCTTGCGCGTAGGGGTAGTCGGGCAGGAGGGTCGGCCAAGCATCGAAAGGTGGCGGCGAAGTGAGGTTTTCGGGCAGTGACTCCGGTGTGACAGCCACGTGTGGTCTCGTGTCACCGGTCACCGCACCGAACGCCTTAGTCTCTTCTTCCGCCATGTGCTGGGCCTCCCCAACGCCAAACAAGCGCTCTCTGCAAGTCAAGTCAGCACCAAAATACTGAAGCACAGAAGGTGCGTACAACTCGCTGTACTGCAGACTCCATTCGCAAGCGCTGATGACAACACCCTTCCAGATCTCTTCGTATCGGTCATCCGCTTGCAGCATGGACATCACCCTTCGACAAGCAAAATCGTCGATGCGCTCACAGCCATTCTCCCCTGCCCATCCAGCGGCAGCCCAAAGGTTAGCGTGCCCTTGGTTACCGTTGTCGATGGCTTGCTGATAAAAGGTTTTCAGCAGTTCCTGGAGAGCATGAGCGTGCTCCTGGGCATGCAGTACGTGCATAGCCTGCATGGTAGTCAGCTGGCAGTCCCACGCGGCGGCCCGCGCTTTCCCGAACGCGTCACTCTCCTCAATGCCACGACGGATGAAGTTTACCGCGGCACGGTCTTCGTTGGCAACGTCAGTGGTTAGTGGCGCGGAAGCGGTTGACGGGAGAAGAGGAGCGGGGCCAAACCAAAGGACCATTGGCGTGGGCCGGGGTGACAACTCGGTTGTGTTGTCTGGTGTCTCCACCAGACTGCTGGCCGTTAAGCCACCCTCGCTTATCCGGAGTTGGTCCATGGCCTCCACCAGACCACGATGGAGAAGCAACGCGTGCTGAGCCTGCATCGCAGCCTCGCGGTCCATCGTACTGTGGAACGGGAATGGTGTTGGCGGGCGGGCTGCTACTTCCAGTCGCAGCTCGCTCTGTCGTGGGGCCGCGAACTGAAGAGCTGGTGATACTCGCGCGGGGGCCTCGTGGGGTTGAGCTGTGGTCCCATCGCCCTCGAGCTGGCTGAGATGGGCCGCGGGGATATGGGTTCGGGCCTTGCAATTTCGGTAAGTGTGTTTACAGACAGATGGATGGTTACTTACCCCGTTGTCCAGCTGGTGCATGGTGGCCAAGGTGTGCACCGCCACGACCTCGTCCCGCGTGAACATTTCCGCGTCCGCGTTGCCCGTTGGCGCGCCAGGCGCTGCCTGGTCGTCCTCCGTGATGGCGTTCATTCGCTGCAAGAGGGGGCGCATTGGGCGTGTTGGGAGGGGTTCGCGGACCTGCTGGAGGTGTTGGAGGCTGGGGGATCGTGTCTGCTGGAGGCTGGGTAAGTGAAACTGTGGCATCTTGGTGAGTGATGATGATATGGATAGAGACTGAGGCCAGCTTGAATTCGAGAGCGAGGTGGTTGGTTCTGGTGAGTGATTTGTTGGTTCTGACCGTTCTTCATCGACACTCACCTCTTTATAGTGTTCTCCTTTTGCTCCCGCCCATCGTCTCTGGTCTGGTAGACGATTTTCGTCACCAGCTGTTCTATCATCATCATTTTCATGGCCATCTGGGAGAACGGTAAGTATTGCGTTCTCCCTTGTCCGTCCTATTGACTTCGTTAGTCTCGTAGACTGTTCGTGGTGCTCCCCACCAATCAACTCGATGTGCAGCAAAGTAACCAGGGGTTCGATAACGACGGAAGTAGTGGTCGCATGCGGTTTCAAAGATGGTTTTCCAATAATCTCTACTGGTAAGTCGTCATTTAAATTCCCAGTCTCGGTCCCAGCTGCTCTTTGGCTATTCATCCACCTCCAGAACCTGTCGACGGGTGTGGTGACAAAACGCCACCATGCGTCGGCTGACTGTCGGGTCGCGGCAGCCTCAAGACGGAGAACAGGCGGGATTGAATGCTGAAGCCAACGGGGTTGGTTAAATTCACTCAGTATGTATTCTGGCTCGTTCTTCTCGTTGTTTTCTGACGTTGTCATCCATCTAGTGGCTCGAAAACAATTCAATATTACAATACAGAACACCAACGCCGTCGCACTGATGACCAGTCGAGCAAGTCGCAAGGCGGCGACTCCCAACCGTTGCCCTTCTTTCCCGACGCCACTATTTCCTTCAGCATGACCTTCAGCCGAATCCCCTGATGCCAGCTCAATGGGTTCCTGTTTGTCGCTTGCGCGGAGCCACGCCAGCGACTGGTAGTGTATGGCGGGCTCATCAGCATCGTCTTCTGCGACTGCCGCCAGCAGCTCAAATCGTGGGCGGTCCGTAATGGGGTCCTTGAAGACCAGGTAGGTCCCTTCCCTTCGCTCGTCAATACTCACCTTGTTCTGTCGCTGCCAGGGACGACCGAGCAGCAAGTCGAATGGGGCTTGCTCCGAGACCCACAGATCCGCCTTGGTCTTCAATCCTCCACAGGCAAGTTCCGCGTTTCGTATCATCCCTCGCAACTGACCCGATCCGCCATTAGCATCATTCATGTTAATGACACAAGTAGTGTCAACTACTTGCGGGATCTTCCTTCGTGCAATTTCGCCTCGCGCGACATTCAATTGTGACCCCGTATCGACAATGGCGGTAATAATCGAATTTCCGGACACCATCTCCACTTTAATCAACACACCGTCCATTCTGGGCCACGCAAAGCTCCCAATCATGGCTGTCTTCCGCGCACCAATGAGGACGGCTTTGGGGTTGCGCACCCGTATCAGGTCAGTAAATTCTGATCGCACATCTTTCGAGACTTCCATTAGTTCTCGCAAGCTGACTTCAATCTTTGAATCGAGCGCGCGGTTAGTAACGTCACTTCTATTTACAGTCGCGGAAATGGCTGATTGCCTGTTAGGTATTCGTGCTCCGCTTTCCTTGTCTCGATTTCGCCCCAGCCGCACTGGATCCACTGGATCTCGTGGTACTGGGACTTCATGAGCACGGACTGGCCTGTCCACCATCTCGATGTCTCCCTCAGAAATGGTGCGAGTTTTCCGTGCGTCGACAGGTTTGATATTGCTGTCCGTACTTAATTCCTTCTTAGGTACTGATCGGGATCCGGGCGGGGTTGGTGGACGCGGGGTAGCATGCGGGGGTGGGGGTGGCGCTGCTGCTGGGGTTGAATGAACAGGTGGCGGGTTTGATTTTGGTGATGGACTCTTTGTATTAGCTCTGGGCCTTGGCGGAACATGGACACCATCAAATACTTCCTTGCGGGCGCTGCGAATAGAACTCTGTCGTCGATCAACCTCAAATACATCTGCTTTCTCCTCATCTATGAACTGAACAGTCCTGGGTACTGTCAGATATACAATCTCATCCTGATCTTCATCTGTTGTATAACCTGCACTTTCATCACCCTCATCATCATCAGATTGATCAGAGTAAATCTCTTGTACCCTTGCTGTGGATTGGTAAAAATTCTCTACTGCTCTTTTTGTCCCAGACAGTGGCTCTACAAAGGCCAACATAACAGCAGAACCCACTTGTCCTTGGGTCAACCTTTCCACTGCTTGTACTATGGATTCTCCAGCTATTCTTCTAATTGGAGCACCTGATTTGAGTTCCAACCTCCTTGTTTGGGGATGCTGGCTGATTATTCCCTTGCTAATCAAATCATTAATTTCTGGACATTCAGACATTCTATGTCCAGGCTTTTTACATCCAAAACAATTAGGATCAACTGGAATATTATTTGGATAAGTGGCAGCAGAGGCAATTTTTTGTGATGTTGTAGGTGGTGATGACGATGATCCATCAGATGATCGTGATGGATATTGATTTGATGATGAGAAGCTAGGTCTCCGTGTATATGTTGGTTGGGAAGTGGACTGACTTTGAGCTGGGGCCTTGACACAATGTACTGCATTTCCTGTTTGGTCCATAGCTAGTACCTTGTAATAAGTAGGTGCATATTCTGGGTCCTCCAGTCTCATGCCATTTAGCTGTTTAATCATCCCAGCTATCTCTTCCTCATTTCCACTGAATTTAACTTTGGATTTAGGTGTTGATGGTCTGGACTTTTTATCTTTAGATTTCTTGGCAGATCTCCTTTTTCGCTTTGATCGCCGATAATCCCATTCTGAGTCACTGTCAGATTGATCAGAATCAGATTCTGAATCATCATCATGATCATAATCATCAAGTCCAAATTCTGCAGTGTCCTGTAACAATTCTTCAACTCTTGATCTTCTAAAGTGCCATTCTGCTGCAGCATTAATTTCCTGCATAGAATATTGGGATTGACTTAAGCGACGTCTGTT